TGATGCCAGCGAGAAGTTTAGAGGCAATATTGATCAAACTAATTCCTCTATGATTTTCACAAGAGGATCTATCACCTTTCTTGTAAATCGGTATGATGACCGACTCACATCATTCAGCTGGAACCTCCTCTCTTTCCCATATTGAGCCCAGGAGTTTTGTCTACTCCAAGACTAACGCTGAGCCTCCATCCTTAAACGCAGATGGGAACAGCCCGTCGGGGCCGGAAGTCTCATGCCGTTTGAGGTGACTTATTTCCCGGGAAACCTCCATTTCAGATGGAGGACTAGCATCAACTGAGAGTATGTGTCCAGTCAAGGCGGAGAGTGAAAGATAAGGTGTCGATGGGGGGCCAGTTGAACTGAGCCTTGAAATGTTCAGCCCAACGGTCAAGACGGCGTTGCTGATCGTGAATCAGTGTGCCGTCGGATTCCTTAATTACTTAATTAAGTAATTGTTGAGTAGTTGGTAAGCACTGACCACACACGTCTTATTTCAGGTGAACAGAACCAATGCAAATAAAACCAAGATGGGTTTACTATTTCTACACTCAAAGGGGATTTGTGCAGTTCACCAGCCCTAATCCCGGTTTCCATTATCAAACAGTAGATCTTGGTTACTACAGTACTTGTCCTTTTCACTGATGGATGCACCGAACTGCAAAAAAATGTGAACAACTAAAACATAACAGCATACATATCTTAGAGTAGCAAGCTTGGATTATAGCCCATTCGGTTGTGAAGAGGCACCAGACACTCTTGATAATCTTGGGTATGGGTTTCACTCCTTGGGAGATCGTTAATTCCCTACAATTCAGGCATTTACATGCGATGACCGTCGACCGTGTGGCTCAGGCGTAAGGGTTTGAAGTCCCAACCCGAAAGTTCGCGGTTAGAGTCCTGGAAGGGGCACAAAAAGTACGCACTGCTGATGAGTCCCAAACAGGACGAAACAGCTGTCCAGTGATCGTAGTCGAGCGTACATATCTGTTCTTAGCTATTCCTAGTAATACAAAATACACGGCAAAACTATCACCAATCGAACAAGAAATATCAAGGAAGAGAGCAAACTACCATAGACAAACGAAATAGGATCCTGACTTCAGATCATATGTAAAAGTTAGCCTAATCGCAAAGTTGTTCGTTCATCCTGTTCTCTAGAGATAGAACAGAAGAGGAATTCCGTTTCCTTACAATTATCTTTTTGTGTAATATTTATTCGAAACAATGTGATTAGGAGGATTATGGATTGTCTTGCTAGCGATATGAGAAAACCGGGTGTTAGGGAGAAGTTAGCACTGATTTGATTGCTTTTGACAGGTACTGCGACCACTAAAGTAAATCAGAGAAAATCATCAAACGCGGTCCGTGAGAGCTCATACAGCAAAACTTCATGCGTTGTTCAATACCAGATCAACCATATGTTCGAGGTTAAAAGATAACACTCTTGATCCTTTCACCGATGCCGATGGTATCCGGGTGGTGAAAGAACCATGACCCCCCCCCCTCTGCCAAATGAAACTCTATTCATTCTTGATCCCGTCGTCTGGCTCTCCACACATTCGTTTACTTCATCCTGGGGGCGGGGAGACGTAAGTAAACTGCAAGAACGGGTGCCTGACCAAGTGAATCACCCAGCATAATACCGCATGAATAAACACTCAGACAATCAAGTTGCTTGAAACAAGCGACCACGAGGAAGCTGCTGCAGCATTCAACCCCCTATGTAGGGTTTGGGGTCGACTGCCAAAGCAAGTTCTCCGCCGTTTGCTCACCACAGTGAGAGGTTAGATTTGTCGCCACAACTCCCCTATGTGTGCTAAAAACAATCGGCTTTTGTATTCAAGTTTTTTAACTCAATCCACACAGTCAGTGAAAAGAGAGGATCAGCTGAGCAAACAATTTTGTGAACAGCATGAATTTCATGTGATCACAAATCCCTTCAGGTATTTTACTGTAAGATTCGTGATATTTGACATGGTTACAATTTGCTAAAAACGCATTTGTTCACCATTTTATGTTCTGAGGGATTTTCAGACAAGAAAAAACTATTCTGTCTCCCCTTCAGTGTTCAAACCCAATGAGAAACGCGTTTCTGTTTTTCACCTCCTTTTGATCTATTGTGTATACAAATGCACAATCAACTTCTAGGAAGGAGGCTGCAACCAAACAACGAATATCAGAAGAAAAACAGAAACGTAGAGGATGGGCGGTGAAGGCGGGATTCGAACTCGGGACCTCCAAGTCGCTATTTCGATCACCTTGCCCACTTGACCACCACAACCGAGAAGATACATAGGTTTTAGGCTAAATAGGGTTTGTAATTCATGACCGGAATGAGTTGTATTGTGCAAGTGGGCTACCACTCTACTGGCGAAACGAGTCCACGGAAACATAATCAGCATAGCTCAATACGCGTAAACTCCTTCGCCAATAAATCATAACGGATTCACTCATTTTGCATACAAATTGAACCTGTGAGGTTCGAACCCTACCTGGGTATCATACCACTTCCATTTCATCTGAAACAATACCTCAAATACAGTACCAAAGCTTTTTGTGGTTCTCAGTTCCAAACCTAGGAGTTCAAACCTGTGGTTTTCATGACCGAAATCAATTTCAAGGCACAGGGAGTCAGGGTATTATGGGTTATAATTGCGTCCTTCGAGTACACTTAGAGGAAAGTATCAACATAAACAAAGTGGGGACTCGCTTGAAGTGTTTAATTTTCTAGGCTGAACAACATGGAAATATACAAATAAATCTATCACCCGAACAGAGGATTACGGATGCAGCTTACTGAATTATTCGTCCAGATTGACGTGTCGGCCACACTGCCAGTAGATCGGGGTTTCGACGGTCGACCAGAAACAAGATTTGTTCGATTTCGACCCTCCAGAGTTAGAGTCGCCGCACTGAGTTGCGCTGGAGAGTCGAAATCGAACAAATCTTTTCGATCCTCCTGTGCTGGAATACCAGATGTGGAAAGACTACTCAAATGTTGGGTTCTTGTGCTTGATTGTTGCGTGCTAATGGATGATTGTTCACTGGTGGCGTTCATTGGACTCCGGATAAGCGGTTTCATGGGTGCCGAATACGGTTCGTAAGACAGAAGCTGCAAGGACATGCGGTAAAGTGCGAGCAGGAAAGGAATCTGATTCTTACCGAACTCTGAAAATTAGAATTTCAATGGTATTTTAATTTGGCCGGTTTTATTTTGTATTCTACTAACCAAATTCTACTACCAAATAATGCGAAGCCCAAGCCATCCGTGTCACCCGCTTCTGAAATTATCACTCAACGTTCATCTTAGAGGACATCCATTTAAACTAGTGGTCTCAAAATGCCGCTTGGAATGCCGGCGTCAGTCATTTGCAGTCAGAGTGTGTTCGATCTGGAACTCTCTCCCATCCTACGTCGTTTGTGCTC